ATCAGACCACCTGGAGTAGCTCTGAACACATCCAGCCTGGAGGGTGGGATCAGGGTCCTGGAGATCCTGATGGATCAGCAGTGAAGGGTCAGGCAGGGGGGGCAAGCGGATGAAGGAAACGGGAACCTGATGGCATTTCCAGTCCTTAAAGAAAGTCCAGGCAGGAAGGGAAAGGAAAGAAGGAAAAGAAAAGAAAAGAAAAGAAGGGAAAGAAGGGAAGGAGGAGGCTGAGCAGGGATGAGGTGGCTTGTCTCCAAGGGCTTGTGGGGCTCCTTTGTGGGGATGCAGGGAAACTGGCACCCTGGGGGAGAGAACCAGGAAGCACAGAGACCGTTTATGAGGAGGGTGTTTTCCTGTTCAGACTACAGATTCCAAAATCAGATTCCACCACCAAGTCTCCAAAACTTACATACTTTTTTTCTTTCATGAGGGAAGGAGAGTTTCTCTTGTGGAAGGTGGGGGTGGCAGTTTCAGAGGGATCATTGCAGCCACCTTGCAGCTCCCAAGGAAGAAAATGAGGGGGTGAGAAGGGAATCACTAGGTCTTCCCCCTCCTCTTTAAAATCATTTTTTCAAAATAAAAGTTTGTAAAGCACAGGACAATATATCGTGGAAACTTACTAGATCAGTGGTTCACAGACTTTTTTCACTCGCGGCACCCTTTTCTCACTGGCCACTGGCTACTGCTTCCCAGTACAGAAGGACTGCTGTATCCATGGAATCAGAGCTTGCTGCTTCACTGGCTTAAAAAAAATAAGAAAAAACAATTCATGAATACACCTTAGTGTATTCATTACACTAATGTAACAGTTCATTCAGGATGTACTGCACAAATACGGTGTTAAGGAAGTAACTTCCTGGCTAAGGGTTCTGAGTCAATACACATCTCTCTGGTCAAGCTGACATTGTGTCCCCAAAGGAACCAGACTCTTTCAAGGTTCATGTTCCCAAGAGAGCTAAAGCTCGGCATGACAATGTTTTGACTCAAACCAAGACATCAGAAGTATTTAAAGTCAGAGACAGAATGTTCCCCATCCTCATAGTGTTGAGCGAGGATGGCTACAAGTCCCCGCTCCGAATCATCCATGAACAGGACAAAAGGCTGAGAAAAGTCAGGGGCTTGCTGGACTGGGGCTTTGCAGAGCATCTGCTTCAGTTTTGCAAGAGCCTCCTATCCCATGGGTCTCAAAGACCATTTTGTCCTCTGTCATCCCCTTCTCCTCTTGCCTTCACTCTTTTCCAACATCAGGGCCTTTTCCAGGGAGATTTCTCTTCTCATGAGACGGTCAAAGTATTGGAGCCTCAGCTTCAGGATCTGTCCATCCAGTGAGCACTCTGGGTTCATTTCCTTCAGAATGGATAGGTTTGATCTCCTTGCAGTCCAGGGGACTTTCAAGAGCCTCCTCCAGCACCACAATTCAAAAGCATCAATTCTTTGGCAGTCAGCCTTCTTTATGGTCTAGCTCTCACTTCACCAGAGCATTGACTATGCGGACCTTTGTCAGCAAGGTGATGTCTCTGTTTTTTATGATGCTGTCTAGGTTTGTCATTGCTTTCTTCCCAAGAAGCAGGCATCTTTTAATTTCGTGGCTGATGTCACCATCTGCCGTGATCATGGAGCCCAAGAAAGTAAAATTGTTCACTGCCTCCATCTCTTCCCTTTCTATTTCCCAGGAAGTGATGGGACCAGTGGCCATGATCTTACTTTTTTGATGTTGAGCTTCAGACCTTTTTTTGTGCTGTCCTCTTTCACCCTCATTAAGAGCTTCTTTAATTCCTCTTTCTGACATCAGAGTGGTATCATCTGCATAGCTGAAGTTGTTGATATTTCTTCTGGCAATCTTAATTCCAGTTTGGGATTCATCCAGTTCTGCCTTTCGCATAATGTATTCCAGTACAGCTTTTTCCCACTCTTTTGTTGACTATGAGGTCTACTCCATTTCTTCTACAGGATTCTTGCCCACAATAGTAGATATGATAATTGGCTGAATTCAATTTGCACATTCCCATCCATTTTAGTTCACTGATGTCCAGGATGTCAATGTTTATTCTTGCCATCTTCCGTTTAACCACATCCAGCTTCCCAAGGTTCACAGATCTTACATTCCAAGTTCCTATGCAGTATTTTTCTTTGCAGCATTGGACTTTCCTTTCACTTTCAGGCATGTCTGCAGCTAAGTGTCCTTTTGGCTTTGGCCCAACCACTTCATTAGCTTTGGAGCTACTTGTACTTGTTTTCCACTCTTCCTGAGTATTATGTTGAACACCTTCGAACCTCAGGGGCTCATCTTCCGGCATATCTTTTAGCCTTTTGTTTCTGTCCATGGAGTTTTCCTGGCAAAGATAGTAGAGTGGCTTGCCAGTTCCTGCTCCAGGTGGATCACGTTTTGTCAGAACTCCCCACTATGACCTGTCCGTCTTCTCTGAATTATTCAAGCCCCTTTGCCATGACAAGGCAGCAACCCATGAAGGGGGTCATCTATATATGTGACTGAAATCTTGTCCATAAATGTTGCAACATGGCCACTGCCACATGCATCCAAAGGGCATGTAAGTGAATTGGTAGGGCCCGATTGGGGGGTGGTGGTGGTTAAAAGCCATCTTCTCCTTATCGGTCTCTTGGAGGGGGATTTGTGAATACCCCTTGTCCTAATCTCTCAATTTGTCCACACTGGGTATGGTGTAGGCATCGAAAACAAATACTGCATTCATTCAGTGGAAACCAATGCAGAACCTGGTGTTGCCATCGGGTTTCGGAACTAGGACTGGGTGGGTACACCATGGGCTGTTGGAGGGGGTCTAACATGGAGTTGCCTTCCTCTATTATAACCTGCCAGAGGTGTTGGAGCTAGTTTTGGACTGCTGAGTGCACCACTACTCCTGGATTAGTTTTGATTTGATCACGTCGTGAGAATGGCTGATGGTCGGATTCCAAAGGATCTCCTGTATGGAGAATTAGTGCAGGGAAATCGCCCCAGAGGGAGACCACAGCTGCAATACAAGGACATCTGCAAGCAGGATCTGAAGGCCTTAGGAATAGACCTCAACAGATGGGAAACCCTGACATCTGACCGTTCAGCCTGGAGGCAGGCAGTGCTTCACGGCCTCTCCCAATTCGAAGAGACCCTTGCCCAGCAGGCCGAGGCAAAGAGGAAGTCACAAAAGCAGCAAAAGCAGGGAGCCGGACAGGGGACAGATTGGATTTGTCTTCAGTGTGGAAGAGATTGTCACTCTCGAATTGGCCTCTTCAGCCACACTAGATGCTGTTCCAAGTCCTCCATACAGAGCACGTCACCATAGTCTTTCGAGACTGAAGGATGCCTAACATTAACATTGATCTACTAAGGTGGTAGGCCTGGGCCTGCAAGAGAGGACATCCGGAATCTCCTGCTCTAAGGTCCTCAACACTTGCTGCTTTCGTGCTCCCAATGACTCGGCTAAATCCCCTTCATCTTCCTGGGGAGAGGGGAATGGCTTTGCTTCTAGGGAAAGGAGGTCGTTCTGTATTTCACAGACCAACTGCCCAGCAGGTGTTTCCCCTTCTGGCCTGGCTTCAGTAAGGGCCTGGCCCAGATTGGGGTCTTCCCGGAAGGCTAAAATGGGTGGAATGATGATAGACATGTTACCAAATTTATTCCCCCAGAACTGGGTGCCCAAAGTTGGCATCTCACCTAACAGAAGTGCTGGCCTTGTCCTAATGCCGTTCGGTAAGCAACACTTTTCTGAGAAAATCATTCATCAGATTGTGCAGAGGGAATAAGAAGAGAAGCAGGGCTGTGTGAGAAAGACTTTTCCGGAAGAGAAGCAGGCAAAGGAGAACCAAGAAAGGCCTGAGCAAAGTGGACCCAGACAAGCTTGAGCAAAGAAGAAAAATGCGTACATATTTTCTTGCTTACATTAGTAAATCACACAAGGGTAAGCCCATTGAGTCTGTGGGAATTTGATAAGTTAATTCCTCCATAAGTCTCATGGTTTCAAATACTCCATACAAAGTGCTGGTTATCTCTTATTATTTAGTCTATTTTCTATGCACAAATCTACTAGTCCGAAAATGAACCTCTAACCATATAAAATAATAGATATTTCTGCCACTTTTCAAAATCCAACAAATATCCTTCATAGCCATTAATAGTAATTACCTGTACATTACCACATCTCAGTAAAAGTAACATAAAGGTCTGTGACCCATGGAATGGTTCCTAGCATAAAAACCATGAGTGGTGGGCCAAGAATGCAATTTATTCTCTCCCTTTGATCTCACTAAGAAGGGCATTTTCATTTGTTTACTTTAGTTACATCACCTGTGGTCTATCTTCAGTTTCATTCCTATTTAATAATTGCCATTTTTCCCGGTTAGATAAACATAGTAAACTGGCCCTGACAGCCAAAAATGTTCCATCTTTCTCTTCTAGTTTAGACACAATGATTTGGGAAATTTCCACATTTTCACTTTTCACTCCGCTAGTTATGTGGAGCGACTTTTAAAAAGCAATTCAGAAGAGATTCCTGAGTGTTGCAGTTTATTTGTAACATATTTTATGATACTTTATGATTTCCACAAAAAAACTATTATTAATCCTGACCCCTCTCCCATTCTGTCTTTACATGCAAATGAAATGGAATTAAGCAAGAAGGATCCTTTCCTTTTTGGCTGCTCTTGGTGTATCTATTCTTTTCCCATGACCATCAGTGAGAAAAACAAATCCCTTGCTTGATCCCCAATCAGATGGCCTTTTGTGCTGTACTCCTTCTTCTCTGTTTTTTCTTCCTGCTTCAGGTCACAAACAGGAGAACCAGAAATTGATTAACCACCCCTTCTTATACTGAAAAGAACCAGTGAAAAAGCAGGAAAGAGGAAAATCCGATTTCCAGAAGGAGGAAAAAGGCAAAACAGAAGACAGGCAGTGGCAGAAAAAAGAAATCTCCAGATGGTGTTTATAAACTCCTGACAATCTGAATGTATTCCTAGGAAAAAGGAAGGCAAAATTATTCCTTTGAGAGAGAAAAACATGTCAATTCATGGAACAAGCTTCACTATGAATAATAAATGTATTTCACATGAAGAACCCCTCATAGGGGAGAAAAGGTATAACTGTATGCAGTGTGGAAAGAGCTTCAGGCAAAGGAGGTACCTAAGTAAACATCAAATAACTCACACAGGGGAGAAACCATATGAATGCCTGGAATGTGGGAAGAGCTTCAGTTGGGGAGATCAACTTAATGACCATCAAAGAACTCATACGGGAGAGAAGCCATATAAGTGCATAGAATGCGGGAAAAGCTATAGCCGAAAGAGTGCCCTACGTTTACATCAAAGGATTCACACAGGGGAGAAACCATATAAATGCTTGGAATGTGGAAACAGCTTCACTTGGAAAGATCAACTTAGTTCCCATCAAACAACTCACACAGGAGAGATGCCAAATAAATGCACAGAATGTGGGAAAAGCTTTAGTCGAAGGAGTGCCCTACATTTACACCAAAGAACTCACACGGGAGAGAAACCATATAAATGCTTGGAATGTGGAAAGAGCTTCAGACACAGCGGTAGCCTAACTGCACATCACAGAAGTCACACAGGGGAGAAACAATATAAATGCCTGGAATGTGGACGGAGCTTTAATCGCAGTGATAGTCTAAGAACACATCAAAGAATTCATACAAGGGCAAAATCATATAAATGCATAGAATGTGGAAATGTCTTTGGTTCCACCAGTAGCTTAAATAAACATTGGAGAAGTCACACAGGGGAGAAATCATATGAATGCCTGGAATGTGGACAGATATTCAGTCAGAGCAGTTCCCTACGTTTACATGAAAGAACTCACAAAGGGGATAAACCATATGAATGCATGGAATGCGGAAAGAGATACAGTAAGAATTGGTACCTTAGAGCCCATCAAAGAATTCATACAGGGGAGAAACCATATAAATGCCTGGAATGTGGAAAGAGTTTCAGGTTCAGCAGTTCCCTAAGGTTGCATAAAAGAATTCACACTGGAGAACAACCATATAAATGCATGGACTGTGGGCGGAGCTTTAATCACAGTGGTAGCCTGAGAATGCATCAAAGAATTCATACAGGGAAGAAATCATATAAATGCTTGGAATGTGGAAAGAACTTCAGCCACAGCAGTAGTCGAAATGCACATCAGAGAACACATAGAGGGGAGAAACCATATGAATGCCTGGAATGTGGTAAGAGCTTCAATCAGAGCAGTTCCCTACATTTACATGAAAGAATTCACACAGGGGATAAACCATATGATTGCATGCAATGTGGAAAGCGCTTCAGTCAGAGAGCTCACCTTAGTTCCCATCAAAGAATTCACAGTGCAGAAAAACCATATAATTGCACGGAATGTGGACTGAGCTTTAAACGGAATGATAACCTGAGGTTACATCAAAGTATTCACACAGGGGAGAAATCATATAAATGTTTGGAATGTGGAAAGAACTTCAGTCACAGCAGTAACCTAAATGTACATCAGAGAACTCACACAGGGGAGAAACCATATAATTGCATGGAATGTGGGAAGGGATTCAGTCGGAAAGATTACCTTCGTTCCCATCAAAGAATTCACACAGGGGAGAAGCCATATAAATGCAAGCTCTATTTTGGTGTGGACTAACCATCTGCATTGGGCGACAGCAGGAGGTAATCAGAGACACTCTAAACCATGCCAAAAATCCCTGTAGGCTCCCGCTGTGCCAAAAAGGAGCAGGAGAACTCTAAAAAAGTGTGGGGTGGATCAGATCAAAACATGTGGACACCGTAAACAGCATAAAATGTGATCCAAATGGTGATCTCTTCTGCTAGTGTGGACGTGCCCTTAGATGGTGGTGTTTCCTCCATCCCACCCTCCAAGAT